CCGCGGTTTTATCTACCAGGCATGCCCATTACCTGTTAGGGATGGAAGGATGCCAACAGCGGGACGCACTCTTCAGAGGGCGGGGTTGTGCCTCGTCTGGGCTATGCCGCCCACACGCTTGTTCGGCTAGTCGGCTCTGCATGATCGGGCCGGGATGGTAAAACTAGAACTGACCACAATGCTGTTTTTGGGGGTTTTTTAGGGGGGGGGGATTCAAACGGAAAACGATGGTACCGAATATGGTCTCTCACGGCAGTGTGTCCTGATTATTCCGAAAGAAGTATACAACAAATACAATTGAAAGTGGCTTCAAAGTGACAAGAAGAATGCACCCATTAGACTAGCTTTTGCTTTAAAAAAAAAATGAATATGTTATTAGTAACGCTAAAAAAGATACCCACCTTTACGTTTTCTACGAGAGAAATGAGAAATTACGCTGTCTTTGGGGTTAATTCCTAAAAATAAAACCTACTATTCTCAATAAATCAAGCACGGCTGAACTTGAAAAATCAAAAATGTGTGACGTCAAATAAATAATTTCTACCGATTCGGAACTGTTTAGTCATCGTTTAAACAGATTCTGCAAAATCGGACTAAAGACGTCTTAAATGTGTGTACTACCTTTAGTACTGGCACAACTGAGAGCAAGACTGTTGCTCTTCCTTGATTAGCGGTGTGTTGGTGCCTGCGTAGTGTGTGCACACAGCTAGCAGCGCTTTGGCCCCAGCTTTGCAATATCACTGTAGTTTGCATCGTATTTTCTCTGAACCCCTCTTTCTTGCGTCAGAATCAGATTTTTTTTCAGAATGCCTACAGCAGCTGCTCCTGAATATTCTTTTTTTTTTGTTGTTGTTGAATTTACAGACGAAGAATGCTTTACAGTAATTCACACACATTCGTAACACACACACACACACACACACACACACACACACACACAAACAAACAAACAAACACACACACACACACACACACACACACACACACACACACTGGCGAAGGAATCGTATTTGGAGTCGGCAGAGAGTCTGCCGAGAAGGGTCAAGAAATGAGTGTATGGAAGTGGAGGGATAGTGGAGCATGTAGACCGTATCGGAACAAACGTTCCATAGTAAATATATAGGGACAAAGTTCAAAGTAAACGCGTCAAGATTGAAGTGGAAAGGGCAAGAGCGAGAAAAGAGGGCATGTCTTGGGAAGGTGTGATGAGTAAGTACTTGTACATGCTTACGGTCGCTGTTCAAGGCATGTGTACCCAGATGGTTTCTCCTGACCCACTGCCCTCGACCAGTCTCCGTCTGTCTTTATCCCTGTGTGTCGGTCTTTCTTTCTCTCTGTGCCTTTGTCTCTATCTCTGTCTCTGTCTGTCTGTCTGTCTGTACCTCTCTGTCGCTCTCTGTCTCTCTCTCTCCGCTCTCTCTCTCTCTCTCTCTCTCTTGTTCCCCTTCTTTCTCTCTGTCTCTCTCTTTCTCTCTGTCTCTCTCTCTCTCTCTCTCTCTCTGTCTCTCTCTTTCTCTCTTATTCTTGTTAGTTTAGTAATAATTGCAAGTGCCGCTCTCTATACATAAATATGTAAAGAGATAAATGCTAGATAAATCGATATTTTGACAAATAAACAGATAGATTGATAAATATTTTATGTGTATTAAAATTTAAACGAATATTGATGATGAAGAATATAGCCAGGGATATGAAACCTATCGGTGAGGAAGCTGGTCGAGACAGATTTACACGAGGTGTAGGAAATGAGTTCTATGGGTACTCGGACAAAGGCATTGGAGAAAAAAGAGCCCATCTGACCAATGATATCATTATACTGCAGTTTGAACGTTTCTGGTTTGGATTTGAAAGTATATCTTCTTTGAGCAAATTATAATCTCTTCGCACCCTAAAAAAAGATTCCCTTTGAAGTAGATGGGGTGTGGTTTGTGGGAGAAAGTTTGTGTGGGGGAGGGGGGAGAGGGAGAGAGAGAGAGAGAGATGTTGATTTCTATGGCTTTTGAGGCATCGTTTGAGTGGGCGGAAAAAGAAGTTGTTTGGAATGTGATGTGGCCGTTTATCTCATTTTATGATTACTTCTCATAGACGCGGTACCTTCGAGGCGCCAGCGGGGAAGTCATTACCCAAGTTCCTGGGCCAGCCAGTGATAGTAGCACAGCGCCAGACCTACACTTTGACACGAGTTTTTGTTTTGTTTTATGTGAGTGTTTGTTTGTTTTTTAAATCTCCTAGGGTTACCCAACGGTGCCCGTCCATATTTAGCCTTTGGTAGCATCTGTGTGTAGTACATGTTATAAGGTTATCTTTGTAAAAGGCTAGAGAAGGGGGGGGGGCGATTCTGTCCACTTATATGTCTAAAGCGTCGAGAACTTTCAAAGCTTTACTGGGTGTCACTTGGTCGAATTGATATATTTTCGTGTATATATAATCAGGAAAATTGACAAAGTGAACGAACAAAGAAGTGTTCGGTGGTGATTAGGGAGGAGGATTTCAGGAGAGTAACTGTTGCGCTGGAACGCTCTGTCATTCTGAAGCGTGAATAATTACTTTGCATCATCAACAGATGCCGTTTGTGACGTCATAGCGTCCGTTTTTGTTGACGTGCTGGCTTCCAGATGCTACCGTTGGACCCCCCTTAGAACGGCAGGCAGGCTGAAGTTAATTAAGATCTGATAAGGGGAAACAGGGTCTTCTGTATGTGTGCGATTGGAGGGGAAGGAGATATGGACGCTGAGTCTGAGAACGGAGGGGCCATAAGATAGGTCGATTTGGACACAGCATGCGGATGATGTACAGTCCAGACATTCTGTCTCACACACACACTGTTGTCTGTTTGTATGTTTGTCTGTTTGTATGTATGTAGGTCTGTCTTACTCACACACCCTCCCCACCCCCATCCTCTGTCTCTCATTCTCTCTCTCTCTCTCTCTCTCTCTCTCTCTCTCTCTCTCTCTCTCTCTCTCTGTATATTTACTACCACTTGATCTTGCTTAAAGTCCTGCAGAAAACGGCCGTTGTTAAGATGATGTGCCTTTCCTGACTCAACCAAACACTTAATTACACTGTTGAAAGCGGGAGGAGGGGGGGTGTTGAACTTGTACTGTGGGCAGTTGGCGTATGCTTTGGTGTGGGTTGCTCCTTCTTTCCTACCAAATTCCTGTTGTTTGTCCTCATCTCTCCTCCTCCTTTTTTTTTTTGTTTATTACTCTCTTGTAACACCTCTAATCTTTGGCACTTATTTGACCTTATTGCGTTGCAATTGCTGTAAAACTCCGACTGACACTAAATTAAACTTGTATTGTTCTA